TTACATAGGTATAAACACGCTGTATGTCAGCATGATTTCCCGATCTTTCAAGCATGTTTGTGCGCGTTTCTTGCATAGGAAAAGAAACAACTCAATAAAAATGACATAATTTCCGAAGTGACATGTGAGTAAGCTTACCAGAGTATGTCTAGTGAGTCGACGCCATTGGTCACTCGTGCAACGTCTTTGCGGCTGGCTTCGCATGAGGTATGGCCAAGTTTTTACACTATCAAATGGTTACCATACTTGGGCTCAGCGTATCAAGTAACACCATATGTTTTCAAAATTGCGAGGGCTATCTTTCCGTGCTCACAGTCCCACAGCGCCAGCAGTGAAACATTAAAACTCAATACCACAATCAGTAGAGATAGAAGATCTCATTATATGTGAAATCCAAGCTTACGTTAGCCTTTTAGAATGAACCACTGAGGCTTAGAAAAGATCCTTTGTTGAAGGAATTATCAGCAATGAAACCCTTTTTTGGGACACGCGTATTTTATGCTCTGCAAGACCGTATTGGAGTATAACAGAGGAAAAATGCTCTCCAATTTAGGATGCGTGTGAGCCCCAAAAATCATAATGGATTAATACGCGCTTGCATGTGACATGGCGATTATGCCCAATCTCTGACGTGCGTACTATACATTGGACCGAATCGAATAATTATTCGACAATTCGAAAAAACATTTGAATTCGAACCATTCGTTGGAATATTCAAAACTTTGAATAATTCGGAAATTCAAATATTCGAAATTCGAAATTTTTCTAGGATTCCCATGTACAGAGAGTACCCCTCTCACCTATCCCAAACACGCCACAAATATACTGTAATGTTGAACGACGACATCTATTGCGTAGCGTTGTACCGAAGTTGTCTTACGTACACTCGTCGTCTTCTCCTATTTTGTCTGTTAGGTACGGTTTCGAAATCACTTACTCACTAATCACTACAGGAACTGCTCTACAACGGTACAGCTTTTCCATCGTCCCCTTAGCATACCGGTTGCAGAGGGTCCGTCAAGGCGATACCGTGTCGCCAAAGCTGTTTAGCGCCGCTTTGCAGTGGGTAATGAAATCACTGGATTGGAACGAGAGAGGTATATGAGTTGATGGGAGATTCCTCTCGAACCTTCATTTTGCGGACGACATTGTTCTCTTTTCGAGAAATATCACTGAAGCGGAGACGACGTTGGAGGAACTAAACGAAGTAGGGAAGCGGATAGGACTGCGAGTCAACCGGAAGAAGACTCACTTCATGAAGAACGCTTTTTGCGAGGATCAGGAAACGGAATTAGAAAGCTCCAATCGCGGTGACGTCTTCTTACGGATATTTCGGGCGTTCGATGAACATGGAGAACGATCTGAAAGAAGAACTAAGCAGGAGACAGAGAGCACCTTAGGCCGCCATCGGGCACCTAAAGGAAACCACAGACCAGTTGACAGACCCAGAGCTCCGAGCCCATCTGTTCGAACTGTTATCCCAGCGCTCAGCTACGCAGCAGAGAGGTGGCCTGACACTGTGGTTACGTCAAAGGCTCTCCGAGCAACCCACAGAGCGCTGGAACGACACCTTCTGAAGTACAACCGACGTACTCAACATCTCGTCGGACTTTTCAGATATGAGATCATATAAGATCAATGTCTCGTCTTTGCGATCCAGCGGAATACGTCTCTAAGGCAAGTCATCGATGGGTTGGTCATACAGTGAAGGACAGACGACAGATGGAAACTAAGAACTCTGGAGTGGATTCCTCGCGAAGCAAAACGTCCTCGAGGGAGGCCAGCGATCAGATGGGCTGACTGTTTGTTACACGGATGGACCAGCTGAATTCTCAGCTGGCAATGAGTAACGGAGATGGACCTCGCGAACGTCGCCGCCGCAGTTCAGTACTAACATCGTGGATGGCGCTAGCGAGAGACAGAAACGGATGGAAACAGTGCTGCGGCCTGCGCGACAAGTGAAGACAGGCCATCTAAGTATTCAAATATCTAAGTTTACTTCTTTTATAATGGCTTGGCTTGTTCCTTCAATTTGAGAATGAGTTTGAGG